TTCTGGGATTGATCCGACTGAGCTTGTCTCCGCCAGTGCAAAATGGTTGTTCCAGGTTGGCGTCGACGTTGCCATCCTGCCCACGACTTTGATGCACCCGGCCTTGTTTGAAGGCCACGGCGAGGCATGCTCCCAGTTTGTCGAGACGATGGCGTCCTTGCCGCCTGGACCCGAGAAGCTGGTTGCGACACTGGAACAGCAAAAAACATCCCTGGCCTGCTCCGTGGAAGACAAGGACCCCAACACCCTCTGGTTCTAGAACCCCACGCCCCAGGTCCCCCGATGGTTGTCGACGCTCAGCCGTGCAAAATCCAGATGGAGCCGCTGCCCGCCACCCCTCTCCCACGCCCTCACCCTGCATCGCTTCTTATACGGCAGTACTATACTTAAGAGTCTCCGAGGCCGGTTTCAGGGTAAGTTTACGTACGACAATATCCCGTACATCTACTCTACCATCAAGCTAAAGCGTCGGCGCGGAGATGCTGAGTGCCCCCCTGAAGGCCGCCACCAATGTCGTGATCCCTCACATTCATGTATGAGAAATATGTAGTTTTATCGGTCTACCCCCACGGCATCTTCATCGACTGCTCGGCCGTGCACTTCGTTTCTTGTGTGATCTAGCCTGGCCAGGATGGAGCTTTGACTCATTGGAAGTTGCAGTGCCGCGTCTTGCCCGTGAGGCAAAAGTCCTGTCGCCTCCCCTTCCGCCCCTTTTGCTGCTCACGCTGTGGACGTGAGATGTCAGGCCCTGGAGTGCTTGTTGCAGACGCTGGACAAGCGTACGAAGATATACCTATTCCCCTGATCTGGAATTGTTTGGATCGTCTCTTTCTCCGCTTGGATAAGATTCTTAAGTGCAGGACTGTAACCGTGTTTCGTACCCGACGGTCCAATTGTCGTCTCGGTGGGCATTGCGAGGGGCGTCTTTGGGATCGTGTGGTCTTCTACTTTAGCAGTGTGAAGATGGCCCCTACAGGTTCCATGAGTATGCGTTTCTTTAGGCTGGGCAACATATGCATGGAACAAAAGAAGGGGATACCAATAGGAGGACCTCGGGTAACGTATTACATGTTGTACTTAGCGAACAAGAGTGGCAGTGTGATATGAAATGGAAAATCAGACAACAAAAACTCTGCACTGGAAGATATGTCGACGATGCGTTGTTGTTTTCAAACTTGCATTGCCATGCGTGCTCGGGTCTGATTATGCACGACGTGTATTCTGGCATTGTGAAGTTAAATACTGAGCCTGAACACGCTCCGTTGGTGTGTGTGGCACGGTGGTCGTGGCATATCTTGAAGTTGATCTACGCATATCAGATACAGGCGCACGCACGCTCATGATACATAAGAACGAGGCCTTCGCAGTCACGGGCGACCCCAAACACTCCAAGAAGAAACCGCTCCCACCGCTTCTTGGCCCTCTTTCTGCACGCGTTCTAGGACAACTCCAAGGTAGGTTACACCGCTGGGGCACTTATGACCTGACTATTGATAGATGGATGGTCCTGATCTGCATTGATACGTTGTTCTTCTTCCGCCTCGGCTACCACCCCCACCAGGTAAAACGTCTGTGGGCAGATGCATTCCCTCCTGGGCCCCGTGAAGACCTTGCCCAATGTTGTTCCCACCTAGTTTCGAGGACCTGCAAACACTTTGTCACTGGACGAGAGCATCTCTTGGCTCTTTTTGAACAAGATTGCCACAGCCTTGCCCCCACCTCCGCGCCACCAGCCCCACTGAGTTCCTGCTGCAGGATGTCTCACGGTGGGAAAGGGCACTTCGGTGGACGCCCCTGGCACGGCAAGGGCGGGGGTAAGACGTTCGCTCCTCGCTACAGCGGCGGGGGCACATCGAACTGGCCCCAACAAGTCCCACAGCAACGGTCCCGAGGAGGCTTCGTGGATATGGCGGGGCAGATGAATGGGTTCATGGAACAGGTGCAGGCGCTGGGGGCCATGAGCACCCTCGGCGCGACCCTGGCCCAAGCGCAGCTGTCGCAGCAGCAGCAGCAGCAGCAGCAGCCCGCGAACCCAACCCAGCCTTCAGTCCAGCCGACCACGAGCCCGACCCCTCCAGCCCGCGAGATGGCCGAGGCCGTGATCACCGCCCCTGAGAGTCGGGAGCGCGACCGGCAAGGAGCTCACCCGTCAGGCGACAGCCGCCTTCGGACGACGATCGACCGCCTCTCGACGATGGTTGGAGGCGCGGCTCGCGACTCGGACACATTCGAGGCGGCGCTGGAAGCCAGTGGTGCTTTCAAGCGCTCGCGGGCGGAAATGGGCACGCTCGCCAAGACGGTGGACGCCCAGGGCCACCAGCTTGGCGAGGTACAGAAGACCTCGGAGACGACGGCCGACGACTGCCGTGCGATTCGCGCCCTGCTCGAAGGCCGTGCTGCACGCGAGCCCTCCTCTCCGTGGACCCCCGCCGGTGGGAAAGGCGGCCGCCGCGGCACCATGCGGGAGGGGAGCGTTGCCGACGACGGCGAGTTCGCCCCCTTGTCATCCGACCCGCTGGCAGGCAACCTCGTGAACCAGACGATGCACATTGAGCTCATCGGCTACCTGGGCGCGGGCAAGACCCGATCCGACATGACCGAGCTCGCCGACTCGCTCGACAACGACACGAAGATCGCCTGCGGCGAATGGTGGAGCACCGTCAAAACGTGCAAGGGAATCGCGCAGTGGCGCACAAAATTGACTTCCCTTGCTGCGACTTCGGAGCAGGTAAAAACGGCCCAGTTCAAAGATATTGGTGAGTTGATCTACGCCCATTCGACGAACACAGGATCGTGGGCACCCGAACCCCTTCAGCAGATTAAGTTGTCATGAACGGGCACCCCGAAGAACCTGGAGGCGACGACGACGGATTCAGATACCGCTACTGGGTCTACTCTTACTTCCTCACCACCGACGGGAGAGCCTACCCCTCGATCTCTACCCTCGTTATTGCCCCTACTTGTACCGTGCATCACATTAAGTCTGCGTGTTCTGGTGCTTTGCACAGCCTACCAAGCCGGCCTGTTCGTGGAGCAACTTCGTCAAGTCACTGAGTTTGCCTGCGAGCATGTCATGACTACGATGTTCTCTGCTCTCCCCCTAGCCTTTGGTGGTTGGGTCGCCTCATCGATGCTCGGAGTCCAGCGGGGGGTTCGCTGGAAAGCAGGTTTTGAGGCGGCTGCCCCGATGGCAGCAGCAGCAATTACAGACTCTCTAGTGACGTCTGGTCCGTTCCCAGCGTCATTGAATGCAGGAACGGCGTGGATCACTCGTGTTGCGGTGAGTTCAGTATGGGCGGCCGTGGCATACTCACTTCATATCTAGCAATCAGACAGCCAGAATTTTATGTACTTACCTTTTGTATGACAGTATGCTGGTAGCAGTTCCCAGGTGTCCTGAAGAAGTTGGGTAGCACTGCTTGGGGTATCACGCCTACACCTTCCACCACACCGTTCTGCTCTGAGGGCCCCTATGGTTTGAGCCCTAAATAGTCTCTTGCAGGTTGTGCCGCACTCCTTTTGTCCGAGGCCTTTCGGGCACGAGCTCCGTGAGGGCCCCTGGTCACCCGCTGGGACCCCTGGGCCTGACTGGCTCACCTGAACCCGCATTCTTAGGTTTGCTAGCTTGTAATTCCCTCCCTGCTGAAGTCTTGGGACGGTCTGTGTGTGTGCGTGTTTTTTCTTCGTGTTTTCACCGTGCATGGTTTTTCAGCTCACCTCTGCAGTCAGCGCCGTGCGACCCTTGCCCGCACCGACCCCAGCACCGCCGCCAGCAGCTGTTCAGGTTTAGGCTAGCGCTCAAGTCCGCCACGAGCGGGCGCACACATGTGGGTCTGAACAGTTTGCTTTCCATGAGATGAGAGCTTCTCCTGGAGAAAAGCTTGCTTGATTATGATTGTCAGTACGTGCATTCAGATACTCACGAACTTCGCTCACCACATCTTCGTGGGGATCAACGGTGTCTCGGGGGACGTCTTGGGCCACGTGCTGAAGCTCACGGATCTCGCATATAGCACTTCAGAGTATGTGTGTGTGTTTGTGTGTGTGGCGCCGACGCCTCGCTCCCGGAAGGGGGACGGTGATGAGCCCATGGGCGGGTTCTTGACGAGGTCCCCAAGATCCAAAGTCGGGGAGAGGTAAGACTCGGGCTCAAGGGGGGGATTGGTGGGGGTACGGGGGAGGGGGGAGCGAGAGAGGGTGAAGGAGGCGGGAGAGGGAGATGGGGAAGCAGGAGAAGAGAGGAGAGGCAAGGGGGAAGGGGAGGGGTGGCAGAGGAGGAGGAGGAGGAGGAGGGATCCAGGGGTGCATGATTTGGGGGCTGTTTGTTGGAGCCGCGGCATGCACTTCTGTATGCGAGCAGGGGCAGCATGGCCACGAGGTGTGTGGCAGGCATCTGGAGGGATACAGAAGGATCAGGGCAGAGGGGCGTTGCCCAACCCTCTCCCTTGAGTACATGTCCAACGACTCGCGGAGTGCGGCGCCACGGACTTCCCACCCGCCCTACCTCCGACACTTCCAACTATTCTCGGGCCCGATCTCCCAGGCACGCCGTCAGGCCGCGCGTTGCTCGCCGTCGTATTCGTCACGAGACATTGTTCGACTGCTTGGACACGGAGGAGTTCAGATGAATCTGCCCTAATTTGGAATGGGTTGGGGGTCTGAGGTGGCCCAGCACTGGTCCTGGCCAGCAGGAGGCGGAGGTTCAAGTTTCGAGGTTCAAAAGAGATTCTGTTACTTTTTTCAGCTTCACGGGGCCGCTTTCGGGCCCCAGGAACGTCAAAAACGGATCCGGGTTGAAAAATCACACCAGATGGACCCAGGGAGGGGTCGGGGATCCGGGGATTTGTTTTAAATGGATTCGGCCAAGTCCCCCCCTTCTGGATCGATGTTTTGGGCCCGATCCAGTTCAGACCCTTCAACCGCCTCCAAGCCCTCACCTGCTGTGCATGCGACCAAAGCTAGCCTGCTTGATTACTCGGCGGGTGGACCATGGCGAACAGGTACACTCAGTCGGCACCTGA